GCTTCAGAAAAGTGGATTACCCCCGGATCCGGTTTTTTGTTGACGCTCGTTTTCCCTTGCAAAAAACAATAGAAAATGAAAATTCTTGTTCTTAGTTGATCAAATTTCAAGAATCCCTTGCAAAAAATAAGGTAAAGTGGACATTCGCGCTCGCAAGACGAAATCCTTCCAAAACCTTAGGTTTCGTAACGATTTTAACATAAAAACATCAAAAACCCAATGGTTTTTTAAGAAAAAATTGTCAAAATGTCCTTCCGCGCGCTCTTGCGGATTCATAGGAAACACACCACTTTTTAAACATTTCTGTCAAAAGGGTCTTTGCGTGCTACTTCTTCAGGTGCTTTGAACTTCTCCAACAACGGTTGCGCGCCTGCGAGGGCCACCATCCCTTGCAAAAAATGAGACGAAGTGCACATGCGCGCGGCCGCCGCGCGCGCATGTCGAAATCCTGCCAAACACAATGGGTTTTCAATAATTTCAAGATGCGATGTTCAGAAAACATATGAAAACGCACTACTTCCTCATCCGAAAAATCTCGAAATCCATTCGCGGTCTCTTGATGAATCTTTAAAAGTCCGCCGTGAGGGTCCAATAAGCCCCCAAGAGGCCCCAAGATGGTTCCAAGGAGCCCCCCAAAGGCTCTCAAGTGGACCCCAAACCGCGCCAGGAGGCTTCCCCCCTTCCCCAAGAGGACCCCAAGCGGCCCCAGGAAGGCCCCCGACTGCTGACGCACATATCCGTAGCCATCTCGGATCAAGGTATCGCCTGTGTTCTTGGATCATGGCTTTGACGGCGAAAGACCTTCACGAGCAGTACATACGTATAATTTCCCTCGCATGTCTGCCTTTCCCTTTCTCCCTTTCTCCCTTTCTCCCTTTCTCCCTCGCATGTCTGCTTGTACATACGTATAATTTCAGAACTTACCGTGCATGCGATCGTTTACAACATGGTGGACCGTGCGTATGTCACGAACCTTGTATACATGTGTTTCTCTCCCTCCGTCTGGCTGTGCACGCGCGCGTTGGGCACTGAGAGTTAGGATCATAGCGCCATGAGTCTATGAGCAATGCATGCGTCATCCTTGGGACTGTATAACATCAGTGTAACACATGTACTTCTGTAATCGCATCCCCACGAATTTGCCCCAAAAATGTGACCAACTATCTTGGCACTGCGTACCATCTCACGTGTACCGTGTACCACATCATATGTAACAGATGTGATCAACCTCTGTGGGTGTGTACCCCACGCCAGTGTAGTAGCCAGGGTCGTCCGCACGCCACGAAGTGAAGTGTCCCAACGTCATAGGGCGGGAAGCTGGGTGTGGGTGGTCTCGAAGAGTCGTTTGGATATTTGGTAGAGCTTGAACGGCCCCCCCACGAAGTGGGGGTATTGGCTGGTGTCGCAAGAAAACCCTGGCACTGGGGAGAACACTGAGCGTTCGGGTAAAATGATTGTTGTTGTTGTTGTTGTTGTTGCTTTCGTCGCTTTCGGCCTCTCAAAGCCCTTGCCAGGCCTCGGGGCCGTCAAGAAACGACTCGGGATGAGAAGCCGGTCCCGGGGAAGTGGTCCAGAGGTCGGGAGCCCGTCCCGAAAGAAGTCGAGACGCCGGATGTTCAGGATTCCGCTTCGGAAAGGGCATGCCCCTCCACGCTCCAGCCTCTCCTGGGTCTTGACCTCCGCGCCTTCCCCTCCTCCTCCTCCTCCTCCTCCTCCTCCTCCTCCTCCTCCCCCTCCTGGCCCTCGGAGGGGGGCCCGACGCGTCAGGCCCTCCACCGCCCCCCGCCTCCACCGCCCCCTCCATCCCCCTCTACCATCCTCTCCCTTGAGGCCCGCTGTTGCCCGATGTCGTCCTCCTCCCCCCCTTTGCCTCCTTCTCCTCCTCCTCCTGACGTTTCTGACGTTTCTCGCTACACAGCGTCTTGACCCTCCTCCTCCTCCTCCTCCTCCTCCTCCCGCTCTTCCCCCTCGCCCTCCCCATTTCCTCGCTCCACACTTCAGGGAGAGAGCGAATACAATACAGTCGCTCTCGGGGCCCTCGAAGGCACCCTGGGAGGGCGGCCACCGTCTCAGCCCCCCCGCCAACCGAACCCTCTGGTCACGAAGAGGCTGAAGGCATTCCGGGATCTCGCCCCCCCCCCCCCCAGTTACGGGCCACGCTTGTCGCGTACGAAGAGGACGGAGGTCGGGGACGGACAAGGGGAAGGGACCGCGCGAGCAAGAGGAGGCACATCAGCTGGAACAGGGGCAAAACCACGAGCGGGAGGTATAGTCCAAGCGGCATGGCAGCGCAGCGTATGGGCCAAGTAAGCAAAACGTATGTATGCAAGCCAGTGGACATATTATTGCGTGCTTCATGCATTGGGGGGGGGTCGGAACGTCTATCTAGCAGACAACACATTGCGTTAACCTGAACTTTCGGAAATCCACGCGGAGTTCTTGGATCGGCGCTGGACCACCGTCTCTGGCTCGCGGAGCGCGCGAGGGGCGGCGCCGGAGG